TTTCCCTCTTGACTCTAAAAGGGGCTTTGCATTTCTCTTTACAGAATCCCTCCTCCCTCACCTCCTTTTTAAAACCTTGCTTTGGAGAAATTGCCCAATAAACAATGAATGTTGAAGTATATTCGATTCTTTCATAGAATAATTAAGGATAACACTGTGTACCTCCGAAGATGACTGAAAGCTAATATTATGTGCACCCATACCATGTTAACACGGTTTAAGCAAATTGCTAAATGTTAAGTGACATTTCTATTGAAGGATTACTTTAACCTCCCCACGACTGGCGGAGTTCAGCAGAATTATTGTAAGAACAATGAAATATGGCACTTTAGCAAAAGATGCTTATTTTGACAACTCTGAACTATAAGGGTTATTATTACCTGGAATTTTCAGTCAGTGTTTTGAGTTAAATTCATTTTCTTTTTACATTCCGATGCCTCCTCCAGGGCTGGTTCAGACCGCCCACCGACAAGGCTTTGCCTAGGTTCGAGCCTTGGTGATGTCTTGCTAGGGTTAGATCATGGGAAGAATGAGAACAGTCAGGTTACAATTCATGCTCTGACCAGTTGAATGTTGTTACAGCACTCTGGTCTACCACCACCTCCACAAGCAGCCAGAACAGTCCCAGTGCCAATCCAGGTAAGAACCTGAGCTCCCTTTCTAGCTACTCATGAAAATTAAGCTTGTTTACATGGGGGTCGCATGTCCCAAACCCTTGCCGTTAGATAATAATTTGGACAGAGAACATTAAGCCAGTTAGGCCAACAGAAGACACTGCTCAAGGGCCTGGGTTATAGGGAAGCTTGTATGGAAAGTAAGGGAGTCCTTAAACAAGCAAAGCCTTTACCCAGTCTTCATTCTCTTGAGGCAGTCTTCTGGAGGTTATGATAGAAATCCCAAAGAACTCAGGAACCAGGCTCTCATAAACTCGATAAAGGATCCTCTCTAGAGTTTATGTTTAAGGAACTAAGGTAAAAGGATGAGACAAATTTGTATCATTTCCTAGGAAAAGGCAGAGCCAAGTTAGCTCGGGTATTTCTATAACTCAGGGGATAGAAATACATTGTCTCCAGGAATTTGCCTATGACTGGGGGACCCTCTGCCTGACCTGTCTTCACTTCGGTGTGCCCCTAATGTGTGAGTCCAAGACTTGGGACTACAGCAAATTCTCTTCTCTGCAACACTGTGGAAGCCTACAGAATTTAGAAAGGAACATTGAGAGAGGGTCGATGATTTTCACAAATTCCTCTCAGGGCTGATGGATTTGATAGGAGAATATCATTCTTTTTGAAGCTGTGGAACAACAGGATCAGAGGCCAGGACCGTAAATGGAGGAGTATTCAAGTCTTTCTCCTGCTTGGGAACATTTGCGTGTCCTCCACATGTTCAAAGATTCCTAGAGATTGTAGGTCTGTTTGCTTTGATAATTGATCCAGAACAGGGGCTCCATGGGATCTCCTGGTCAGGGCTGGCATCTTCCATAAGTTTCCCAATTGCACCTTTGCCAATGTATGGTCGTCCTAAACAAAAGGGAATCAGCACGCTGGCTAAGGCAAGGACTGCAAGGTCATCTTAGGCCTCAGCAAGCCCATGAGACTGTTCAGGAGGCCAAGCCATGGGGCACTCTCTCCCCTTGTCCCTTTGGCCAGGATTTCTGCCTCCTCTGCAATCTCCCAAAGTAGGGCCAATCCTGAGAACTCAGTTGACATTCCAGAAAAATCTGAACAAAGGGTCACTTTCATCAGGAGACAAAATAAGGGGACCAGCAGATAGTGTAATGGTTACGTTGCTGGATTCCCATGTAGTCAACCACAGTTCAAGTCTCCGACCTGGCTGCTTAAAACTCACGCTGGGTGTATGTGTGTGCATGCCCAAAATCCTGAGAGGAGACTGGAGGAGAAGCGATTGCCATGTGGCCATCCCCACCTGGGGGGTGTATGTAAATCAGCTGACCCTGCGTAAACGCCTCTGATTTCCAAAGGCAGGATTCTCCCAGAGCTGCTTTCCAGAAACCTGACAGAGATGTCAGCCTGGGTAAACTGCTGGCTACTTACCAACCTTGCTCCCTGAGAATTTGCTCTGTGGCACCTGCAAATATGGGCCTCCCTACACACTTGCCATTGGCCTCTGTATTTCAACTCCAGGTCACCACGGTTTGGAGACATACCAAGTTCATTTAATTGTGAGAAAATGTTCTCAGCTTTGTTTGTTCTCTGTGTGTAAAAGAGAAAACCTCCATCAACTCAGATGCCCGAGGGCTTACATTACTTTATGCCCCCTCAAGAGGTTAAGTAGCCTGGGCACCCACCTGGCCCATCCCCAGACTGGGAGAAAGCGCAAATACCAGGCATCCCCCACCAATCACACACAGCCTGTTGGGTGGCTGGCATGAGGCACAGTATCTGAGCTCAGTTCTTGGTTTTTTTTTTTTTTTTGGTCTGAAACTGAGATCAGATTCCAGTGTCTTCTATTAGGGCAGACTTTGATGAAATTTGCCATTTGATGAACACTTTTGTTGAAAAAAAAAAAAAACAACTTTTTTTTTTTTCATTAAAAATTGACGTGTATGCTAAAATACAATGGCTTTTTAAAATGAATTAATAGCTTGGGACCAGCAGTTAGCGTAATGGCTATGTCGCTGGACTCCCATGTAGTCGACAGTGGTTCGCGTCCCGGACCTGGCGGCTTAAAACTCAACGCCGGGCGCGTGTGCGTGCATGCCCAAGATCCCGAGAGGAGAATGGAGGAGAAGGGATTGTGGGGTGGCCATCCCCCCTGGGGGGTGATTTCTCACTTTCTCTCTGTCTTTGTCTGTCTGGTGAGCACACACGCCCTATAGAAAAAAACCTCTTAAAAAAAAAAAAAGAAGGGACCAGCAGTTAGCATAATGGCTATGTCACTGGACTCCCATGTAGTTGACCGTGGTTCACATCCCAGACCTGGTGGCTTAAAACTTACGCCGGGCACGTGTGCGTGCGTGCCCAAGATCCCGAGAGTAGAATGAAGGAGAAGGGATTGCGGTGTGGCCATCCCCCCTGGGGGTGATTTCTATCTCTGCTTTCTATCTCTCTGTCTCTCTCTGTCTGGCGAGCGCACACGCCCTATAGCAAAAAAAAAAAAAATTCTCCAAAAAAAAAGAGTAAAATAGTTAAATTGCCAGTTAATATTCTGTTTCAGGGCCTGGCAGGTTGCCTGGTGGTTAAGGATGCTGGACTCCCACATGGCCGACCACAGTTCGAGTCCCAGACTTGTTGGCTTGCTTTGTCACTTTGTCTCCCTGTGTCTGTCGCTAATCAAATTGGAAAACAATGATAATAAATAAATAATTCTTTAAAAAATTCTGTTTCAAATGAGAGAATGCACAATTTATAAATGATAAAAATCAATGAACATACTTCAGACAAAAGCCCTTGAGGTTTTTTACTTTTAGGTTTTTGCCACAGGGCATGTGCACTTGCCAGGACAGAGGGAAGCAGTAAGAGGGAAAGTGAGAAATTACCCCCCAGGGAGATGGCCACACCACAATCCCTTCTCCTCCTCCTGGGATTTTGGGCAGGCATGCACATGTACCTGGCATGTTTTTCAAGCTACTGGGTCTGGGACTTTAATCACAGTTGGCCATGTGGGAGTCCAGCTCCTTAACCACCATGCCCCTTACTGGACCCTCTCGAGGTCTTTGATCTTCTTTTTTAAAGCTTTATTTATTTCATGAAACAGAGAGACAGGTATATTCAGCAGGGTCCTCACACCACGATCCATCTCCAGCTTCAATCAGTCCAGATCATAGGCACACGGATATTCTGTGTGTGTGTAAGGAGGCCCCAGGTGACAAACCAGGGATTTTCCCATGTGAGTCCAGTTGTGTGACTGCTGTGCCACCATGTGGCCCCTCGTCAATAATTTTTTAAATTATTTAATTTTATTTATTTATTTATTATTTATTTTTAAATCTAACCAGAGAGAGAGACACACAAAGAGAGGAAGAGAAAGTGAGAAAACGAGCCGCCAGGTCCAGGACTTGAACCATGGTTGGCCATGGGGGAGTCCAGCTCCTTAACCACTGCACCACTTGCTGACCCCTCATTGATCATTTTTAAAAGCATGAAGAGGCTGGCACTCTTTGAAAGACTCAAATTTGAAGACCTTTTGGATATGTAGAACTAGCCTTCATGTCTCCTTTGTCTCATCTTTTCTGGGATGAATTTCTTCAGCCCCTCTACTAGGCCTTTACCTACATGGTAGCACACCCTCTAGCTATACTACAGCCTGTCAGTGATCCAGAAAACAGAGCACTCAGAGCAGACCCATGTTGTAAGGGAGTTGCCTCTCTCATCCTAACACTGTCTTAACCAACACATCCTAAGGTCCAACTGGAGAGAGCTGTGGTTTGCCACTGGCTCATCTCCTACCAAACTTGCAAAAACCAAGTCCCCAGATTTTTTCTCTTATACTTCCATAGATGCAGCTTACCACAATCTTGTCTACGAGCAAGTGAGTTTTTGGACGCAAGTTGGAATACCACATATATCATAAACATCTCTATCAAAGTCCCCCTTAGTTTAATCTGTTGCAGTCTTCTCATCTTGTCACTTAATGTGTTAACTCTCCCTCCAGTCTTTGTCACCTGGAAAATTGATAACCATGCCACCTCTCTTGACTCCAGTCACTGATAAAAATACATCACATGGGACCAAATCCTGTGAGCTCCACTAACCACCTCTTCTGTGTTTAGATCAAACCATTAACAGACACAAGCAGCTACATACGGACCTGATGGTGTTGTCCTGCTCAATATTTCACCCCCTCCTCTCCAGGACATCAGACTTATGACCATGAGTGATTCCGGTGACACCACTGTGACAGTAGGACTGGGTCTTTTGCCCGCAGATGAAACTTGACACGCCCCCAGCTTAAGCCCTCTCACTGCTGGGAAACTTTACATATGAGAAGTATTTATTGAGCATTTTTTTTTTTTTTTGGAGAGGTTTTTGTTATAGGGCGCATGTGCTCGCCAGAAAGACAGAGAGATAGAAAGCGAGAAATCACCCCCCAGGGGGGATGGCCACACCGCAATCCCTTCTCCTCCATTCTCCTCTCGGGATCTTGGGCACGCACGCACATGCACCTGGCGTGAGTTTAAGCCACCGGGTCCAGGATGCGAACCACGGTCGACTACATGGGAGTCCAGCGACATAGCCATTACGCTAACTGCTGGTCCCATATTGAGCATATTTTATATCAGTCACTGTGCTGGATGTTCGAACTACAGAGATGAAACAAACATTTCCAGATTCTAGACTTCTTCAGTGAGAACTTCTGCCTCACAGGTCCCACCCTCCCCCTAGTAGAGTCATCAGCAAAACCACTGCCTTGTACACCAGGTCTCCACGGCCAGAGCCCAACCCCTGACACTAGGGCCCTCTGAGTCCTGGCAGCTGCTCTTGTTGCATTTTCGAGGTAGGCAGGGGCCATGGGTTTCTGATTATGCAAGATAGAACCAGGTGGCTTTTCCTCAGACCATGCCTATATTACTGGAAAACTATAATAAGTTCATCTACCTCTACTCACAGTCAATGAAACAAGAGGCAAGGGGAAGAAGGGAGTTTATTTCTACAACCAGGTTATAGAGAGACGTCGGCGACCACCACCAAACTGGCTCCAAAAGCACCTGGTCTCAGTCTTTATGGATACACACATGTACAAAAGGTCCCTCACTACCATCAATCAGAGTCCATTGCTTTCTCCTAAGTATCCTGATTCCTTCAAATATCCATTCCTGGTTTCTCATCTGACAATTCCTCCAACAGCTCTCCCTATGTATGACTCAGCACTTGGTCAGGCTGTTCTCATTAGAAGCCTTGCTTAATTTCAAAATGGCTGCAGTCCTGCTGGCCTGCTTCATTTGAGCGGATTGGCTTCATGGTTCTATGAAGTTCAGTGGCCTGAACTTCGCTGGCCAGGAAATCCAACCATAAAGTTAATCCTGTTTCTATGAGAGAAGGCTGACAGGTCCCAAACAGGTACCTGATGCCAATTTATAAACCTAAGACTACGGATGCTCCACTGGCATGATGGCTCATGCCCAGGACCTCAAGTTGTCCTCAGCCTCCTCGGAAAGTCCTCATGTGACAGGCTGCTGGTCCGACGATGCCTACGGCACAGCTGTGGTGCCCACTCTCCTAGTGCTCCCTGCTTCAGCACAGCAAGATCTCCGAGAGAACTGTCCACTCCGGGGCGTGAAACCAGGCCAAGGACAGGGAGGTCGGGCCATCCCCCTTCCAGAGGCCCACAGACTCCCAGACTGCCTCTTCCTCTAAAACTCCACCCCAGAGGAGTCGCTGGGGAGAAACCAGGAAGGGCCATCTGGGCTTCCATCTTATAAAACTTTAGAGACCTTGGGGGCCATGTGTTGTGGCTCCTGCTTGGGTCCTATGCTGGTGACTTCCAGATGTGCCAATGAACAGAAGGGACTGTAACCAGTGCAAAGATTTCCCCAGGGTTTTAGAAGCATGAATGGCCCCAGGCCCTTTTGAAGACTTCACTGCATTAGGGTGAGTTACCAGTGGCTGCACCAGGCCTGCCTCTTCAGTGGCTTGACTGAGTACCCTGAGATGCTCAAGCGACACGGACACCTCCTCAAGTGTGATAAAAAGGTGGTGGTTACTGCAGGGTCTGCCTGGCCTTCAAGTTCAGCTCTGCCACTCCCGGTGCAGCAGTTTCCTCGCCTGTACAATGGAGTCACAGTTGTACCTAACTCGCAGTTACTGTGACTGAATGCTTCAAAGTGCTAGGTCAGTGCTTGATACTGAACAAGTTCTCAGTGAGTGTGAGTGCTTTCCACGTTTCTACCATGAAAAGCATTCAGAACAAATAGTTCTTTTTGACCTGATATTACCCATGAGATGACCAAGCAAATATTATTACAAAAACAGTTCTCTTTTTAAAGAGTGATTTACACTTTGCAGAGTGATTTTATACACGTTTACCTCCTTGGAGTCTCCGCCAGGAGAGCAGGGCAGGACGTGTCTTTATGACCTCAGCTTCACACGGGAGAAAACTGTAGGTGACCTGTAGAGAAGGTAGGCGAGCCGCCCAGACCCGCGGTTAGTGTCTGATAGACCCCGGTGGGTCTTCTGACTTCTCTTACCGTATCACCCTGCTCCTCCTTGACACCAGAAAACAAATGTGCTCACAAATTTACTTCTCATTACTACCAAGTCCAAAAAACACCGCGTCTCAGCTGTCCAAATATTTTTCAGCCCTCGGTTTTTGGATGAATGTGATTCGCTTCGAACTTGTCCCAAACAAAACGAAAGTGGTATTAACAGGAGAAGGACAGGCTTCCAGCACAGGAATAAGGGGCTTAGAAAGTCCTGATGTCCAAGGACTATTTATCTCCTGTTGAAGTGATAGAGCATTTAGCATCCTATTCCTCTTGACCCTCGAGGGTGCTTAAGAGGGAGAAAAAAGCCTTGGGCAAAAGCCTGAAAGATGCACCAGCATTTTTTTTTTTTTTTTTTTTTTTTAAGAAACAGAGTAAAGTGCCTATTTTCACCAGTAGGTGGCAATCGAGTAATGAGACTAAAGAAGCAGAATGTTTAAACATAAATTATAAACACTTTCAACCTGGAGCCCATCTCGCCCAATCTGCTCAAGTTATTTACAAAGCAGTTAAGGTTTACAGAGCATGCGTGACTTGCTCAAGGTCACACACCTGGATTGCTAAACCAGATTAAACAGGTCTCACCATTAAACCTGAATACGAGAGATCACAGATTGCCTTTCAAAAGTGCCTGGCGTCCTAATTGCATGAAGAATAATGCCACTGTTTTTGAGCATGCTAATAATTCCAGCCAGTGGCAAAGCTAATAGACTTTAAGAAATGAAACTGTTGATCATACTCTCAGTCTTCTGCGCTAAGAGAGGGAGGAGTAAGACAGAGAGAATAGCTATTTTTGTGTCCTTCTGAGGTGACCTAAAAGGATATTTGTGCTGAGCCCCTCCCAACCATGATAACATAAAACTGATCAGGGACTCTTGGGTAATCCTCCCCCACCACTCTGTCCATTCTCAGCCCTACTTGGAGTAAAGATCATTAAATATCTTCCCGCATACAGAATATAGGTGCCACTTGACTTTGTTCTACTTGAGACACGGTGAGAAGCAGACACTCGGGAGACCAGCAGTTAGCATAATGGCTGTGTCACTGGACTGCCATGTAGTCGACTGCGGTTCGAATCCTGGACCCGGTGGCTTATACTCACACCAGGCACGTGCGCGCGTGTGCATGTGCGTACATGTCCAAGATCCCCAGAGGAGAATGGAGGAGAAGGGACTGTGGCATGGTCATCCCCCCTGGGGGGTGATTTCTTGCTTTCTGTCTCTCTCTCTCTCTCTCTCTGTCTTTCTGGCGAGTGCACGCGCCCTATAGCAAAAACCTCTCCAAAAA